TACAGTCTCAACAGCTATGAGTGAAGCATGCTTCTCTTTAGGCATTAGAGACCATATGACAGAATGGAGTGCCTAATTAGCATTTTGTGTCTTGCCTCTCTGGCAGAGTTTTAGCTGCTCCTTGTCACAAAGTCGCTCGTAGACTGGAAGTAGTGCATCACGGACATTTTGTGGGAAGTTGTAGGTGTGTCTTGTCAGCGGTTCTTCCATTGCAGCAGCAGCATTCTGCTTGCACCATGAGTCACTGCCACTTGGGCACAACGTTTGGTCGGACCTTTCATCAGTCGATGTCACATGATAATATGTGGCCATGGCTGCCCAGTGCATTGCATCTACGTCAACAACATTAGACTTCAGAGCCCAGCCATAGTATCTCGACAATTGCTCTATGACATCACCTGTCAAGCGGCCTTTCTACTTAGTGTTTCGCCAGAACCTTTAAGCTTTTGAACAAGATTGCGTAGTGCGGTACTCATTTTTTTTTTTTTTTGAAATGGTTTATACAGTCCTCTTTTTGAACCTGTATAAAACCATAAACCGTCGAGTTTTTAACAGCACGAAATGATCTACTGTCCCCATCACACAGCATCACTGTCTACCGCAAGCCGCGACGGGAAATTGAGCGCTTAAAGAGAGTGACAGCTGCCTCCACTTTCATGTGCACTGATTTGCACTGTGTATTTTTACGGCAGATGTGCGATGACTCCGAAACCAAGTAATTTGGGTGCTCCTTTGGAGGTGAGCGCTTGCAGCCGGCACAAAAATTTGACAGGACAACATAATCTGAAACATAGCCAGAAAACAGCTCTATAACAACACTCACACCAATGTGTGACAGGTGGCCTCTGGTCATCCATGTGCCATCATAACAGATGGCCACATTACCTAGGTTGTCAAAGCACAGATCTTGGTATAATGTTTTCACTGACATAACACAATTAGAGAGGACCTTGTCTGCAGCTCTTGTTGCTGCAGGATTTTTTATTTTTCAAATGGCTCTGATAGCTTTTGTGGTGAAGTCCCCTGTGAGAAATTCCCATTACAGAGAAGATGTCTTTTAGGGCTGCCTGGCCATTCCCTGTGCTTTGCACGGCATAGGAATGCGCGGACATTGATTTCAAATGCAGTGCATTTAGCCTGACTGGGTACCCTCCCAGAGCTCCACTCACTGTCAACAAGTCCACAGCTGCGGCACTCTGAAATCAGCTTCATCGCAAGTCCATATTCACGCTCACCTTTTGCAGCAGAAATGGTCCCGCTGCATGTCCGGCATTTAGCCGTTCTTTCAAGAAGCTTGTTTATCGCAGATAAGTCGACGATCCCGTAGGTAGCCGCCAACAGGTCCGAGTACTAGCGCGCTGTTGCGAGTGTTCGCAGCTTGCACTCGCTCGCTGAAGTTGCCGATAGGCTGCTGATCTTATCAGCACTCACTTCCTCCTGCTGCGCACGATCGGCGCTCGTCAAAAAGGTTGTGTCGTTCCTTACGCGCTGCCTATCGCGGACGTCGTCCGAGGTGGCCGGGGAAACAGGCGGAGATGTCAGCGTTTCATCCGACAGATCGTGTTCCATCGCCGCGCGGTCCTGTACTAGGTGCGCGTCGGATATACCCCCGCCATTATCTCTTTTTGCCGCTAAATTTCTTGCGCTTTTTTTCAAACTTGTGAGCGGTGCGGAACTTGCGATACAACTTCGGCATGATGAAAGGTTCTAGCCAGGTTCAAAACATGGCCGAGAGCGTAGGCTTAACGCACTGGCCCGGTGGCTGCGGCGCGCTTCGTTGTGCTGGTTCGAAGGCGTGCCTGAATGTGCAGACTTGAGAAACACTTGCTCCAATTTCTCGCTAGCTCACGCGCGCTCTACTGCCGCACGCAGTAAACAGCTTGGAGAATACACGGCTGACAGCGTAGGCCTAACGCACTGGCACGGTGGCTGCGGCAGCGCTTCGCCGTGCTGGTTCGACGGCGTGCCTGAATGTGCAGACTTGAGAAACACTTGCTCCAATTTCTCGCTAGCTTGCGAGGGTTGTGGGGGTGCTGACACCCCCTGTAAAGTTGTTTTGCGCCGTGTGGAGCACGTGTCTCGCTCCAAGGCCGCATTTCGGGTGACGACCGCCGAGCGATAGATGCCGTTGTGTTCGCGTTGAGTACCACTGTTGGTAGAGTGGTAGCGCCGGCGGGGACCCCTGGCGGAAGGCAGGCCTTGGTGGCTGGCGAGAGTTGAGCGAGCCTCTTCTGTGCGTGGCAGCTGCTGCGAACGGTTGTCTCTAGCATGGGTCCTCGGCGCGGGGCACCGTGGGCCTGCGCGTCGGGGGCCCTCGTGGTAAGTCAAGCGTTGGCGACGCCGCCTTGGGTGTATTAGCGTGTTTGTCGTGTTATTGTGTACTGATGTCCTAGCGTATTACATAACGAGTTATGTATCATTCGGCGGACGATATCGTTGTTGTAAATTAGTTAAATAAATGTGTGTGTTTGTTAGGTTTGTAACGACCGTGTCTGCTGTGTCCGTTCACTCCAAGAGCATGGCGAGGAGCTCGTTTTGCCGAGACCCCACACTGGCTGCCCAACGTGGAGCTCTTAGAGTATCGGACGACAGTTCTTGAAGTTCGGTACAAGCTTTTGTTAGAGTCGTAGCAGAGTAGGTCTAGGGGGGAGTTCCCATTGCTAGCGTCGGCGGTGTTCTTTGTTGAGAGCGAAGAGATCGGTGTTTGTGACGTGTGAATTTGTCAGCAGGTTGAATTTTTATTTTATTTTTTGCTCGCAAGTGTTGCTCTTTTTGTTGTTGTTAGTTTGTTTTCAAAAACGTTGAATTGGGATGAGAGCCATGCGGTCTGCATACTGGGGTGAGCAAGGCCTAGAGCACGTGGTTTGTAGGCCAGGCCCTGAAGCGAGCGAGTATGGAAGCCTCGTGGGTGGTCCAGTTTTTCGTAAATAGCCTCTCCTATCTCTTTGGGCTCAGGGAGCCGGGTGTCGTTGCTGACTTGTATTGCGGCTCGACGCAGGGGCGTCGTGACACCGCCCGGGGCGGTGGACGCCGATTGCTCGGTAAGCTGCTGTGTACGGCGAGCGATAGGGCCACCTCACAGAGTGGACGTCTCCTCATGGCTGCCTCTTCTGCCCCTAGGCTGGGTGCTGGGTGGATGCCGGTTGTTGCCGAGCGACTCAATAGACCTGATTCACATAAAAAACAGCGCCAATAACGAGAGACTAGAAAAAGAAGGAGACAGACAGCGGCACTGAACTTACAACAAGATTTATTTGCCAGAACTGCACAATATATACTTGGTCATTCGCTTGGTTCGATTGCGCTATCATTAAAAGAAATAGATTTCCTTCGGCACGTTAGCACACGTGCTGCTCATGGTGCGTTGTGAAGATGACTATGTGGTTGTTAGGTGGATTCTGTTTTGTTTGTTTTGTATTTTCTTTTTTTGTTAGATACTGACCAAGTATATATTGTGCGGTTCTGGCAAATAAATCTTGTTGTAAGTTCAGTGCCGCTGTCTGTCTCCTTCTTTTTCTAGTCTCTCGTTATTGGCGCTGTTTTTTATGTGAATCATGTCGTACCAACTCGCCCAAGCAACCACGTTAGCTACTTTCAATAGACCTAAGGCTCTGCGCAGCCGCCTGTCGCATGTGGCACAGCTAGGTGGATTGTAGCATTGAGGTGTTGCGCTCTGCTTCCCTCACTTTTTTTTTATCTTGCGATGCACGAGTAAGAAAAAGTGATTCTCCCCTTAAATGGAACATATTTTCCAGTTCCTTTAAGGTTCTGTTTAATGAGAGTCTACTGCAGTGTCCCCTATAATTTCCTAGGCTTTACTGTCTCTGTTGGTTTCGTTTAGATTATAGCCAACTACCGTAATTACTCGAATCTAACGCGCACCTTTGTTCTGGTTAAGCGAGTTCATAAATCGCATGCACATTAGAATCGAGTACGAAAAAAAAAAATGAATACGGTCATTCTATTGCCATCGGCATTTCCAAAATGGCCACCCCCTACATGCGTAGGCCATTTCTGCCTATGTGTTTTCCATGTGCGGCACTTCGTACGTGTGTTGAGGAATTCGTCATCTTGTAGTGCATTAGCGTCGACGGCATGGAAGGGCCGACTCCAAAAACTCGAGTGCACCATGATGCCGCTTTTAAAAGAAAAGTCCTCGCGTGTGCAGAAACTGACGGGAATCGGGCCGCATCGCGGTCGTTCGGAGTTCCCGAAACGTGCGTGCAGGACTGGCGGAAACAAAAGCAGAAGATTGTCGACAGCAAAGCTTCACGCAAAGGCTTCAGTGGACCACAGCAGGGTCGGTTTCCGCAAATTGAAGAGCTGCTCGTGGAGTATGTGCTTGAGCAGCGAGCGGCACAGCGGCCTGTGACGACAGAACTGCTCCAAGTGCGGGCTATACAGTTAGCCTTAGAAAAAGGGCTAATGCGGAGCCAGTTAAAAGCGCTTTATGAAGATTAAAGTCTTTTCCCTCCGAAGGCGAACGATGAAAAGCCTCACAGTTGTCAGAGGTTCCTCCTAAACTTGCGGCACAACAGCAGCTACCTGCTTGGGCAAATCGGGAATGTCAATCAGACGCCTCTTTACTTCGACATGCCTGGCACCACAACCAACGAGAAGAAGGGGGCGAAGCAAGTTCGCGTGCTGACATCGGTCCACGATAAAACTAGTGACGGCAATGCTCTGTTACACATCAGATAGGCACAAGCTTTCTCCGTACCTCATATTTAAATGGAAGACGCTCCCGAAAGGAGTCGTTTATTCGAGTGGTGTGCTCGTGCGGGCCAACGAGAAAAATGGGTGAGCGTAGCAATCGATGTCTTACTTTTTTTTTTTTTTTTTTCATCGTGGAAACCGGGTGCGCGTTACAATCGAGGGCGCGGTAGAATCGAGTAAATACGGTAAGTACAGAGGCCTTCAATCAATTTTCCCTCTTGCAAGCGGACAACTGTGACCACTCTTTGTGAGGACAATCACGAATGGATGTTGGGCCAGCTCACCTGTTGTGGCTTATGGTCAAAAGAAAGAGGCAGCAGCCTGCCCCCGTCGATCGGCCAGCACCCCTCGAGAGTCGCCCACGTTGGCCACCAGCAAGTGGTGGACATGCACCAGAGCCACCAGCAGTGTGGAGCCTGGAAGAGGGAGGGGGGAACATGTATAGGATCAAAATAAAGTACAACACATGTTTAGTTGCCGACTTGGCAGAACATACAGTGTGCAAATACAAAGACTTCTACACTCACGAGGCCGCCAAATTTTCTATCAGTGGAGAAATCATATAGACAAAATAAAAATTGAGAACAAACAAAAAATATGTATACACACATTAATATGCAAGTTACACCAACACAGCAATGTAGCCAAAACAGCTAAATCAAATTGAAAAAAAAAAAAAAAGACCGTACTTGCCAAGAATTTGGATGGTACGAACCAAAAAATGATTTCCCTAGATGCTGAAATTCTGACAATGAACGCCAACTAACGAAAACATTGGTTGTTGGAGTCATGGTAGATCCTAAAAGACCAAAGGTAAGCTAAACCAACCACTCTAGAGAAAGTCTTATTTATGGTTGAGGCACAGCCAGGAAAAAAAAAAAGTGAGAGAGTGGTGGCTTTGGTGCTCAGCACGGTAAAGCACCATAGTGTTCTGATCATCTCATGGCTCAAGCGCACCGAGCCATGTGGCACTGTCCTTATGGCCCGGTCAAAACTGTTGTGCTTCAACAGAACACAGGACAAGAAGCTCTTGGGAGGACAAATGTTCCTATACTCGGCGACAGCTTTTCTTGACATTGGAGCGAAGGCTACGGAGCCGGGGCCTGCGCACATTTGTGTTACTACGCAAGTAGTCCGGCAGCTGGCAGCCAATTTCGGTTCCAGTTTCAGTTTTCACTTGCTCGCTGCGCTAGTGTGTTTATTATAGCAAAATGTATGCATGCAAAATGGGAACGTCAGAGTTAAACTTTGATGAGAGTGCATACATGCAGCTAGTTACTGCGCTGTTTATATACTGGTACATATAAAATTTTCCGTTGTTCAGAACGTTTTCCCAGCATTATTCAGCCTTTATAACAGTGAAGTTTAAGGTTCCGTGTTCAGCCCAGTATATACGGGTACGCGCCACACGTGATCGAAGGTTAACGTTTACGGTATTGAGCCCTGGTACAGGCGAAATGGAAGGCCGGTTGCGGCACGATCCGGCCACGGGTCTGTCTTGTTTCAGTTTTGCTGTATTTGGTTTACGCCCTCAAAGGCTGTCAGCAATGATCGGCGCAGACTGCGCCTCAGTGTTCGAGAAGCCTCACAATTGTTGTAGATCGTTGTTAAGATTGCGCGCAAGACGCGAACAGTGAAGCTTATTTCAGAGATTGCGCGGCCACCAGTGATAAGGCTGAAAAGTTCGATGCGTGATGTATAAAAGACGGCGCGTCCCAACGATGAGCAGCTTTTCCACGGCCGATGCTGTGCTCGCCGCTGCAAGAGCAAGCAGCAGACGCAGCCGGCGTGCGGAAAACGTGGTGCCGTCCAAGAAATAAAAAAGAAAAAAACTAGGGCGCACGATAACTTCTTTTCCATGAACAGCGTCCCATACTTGTTCTATCCTTATAATGAAGAAAGTTTTATTTATTCGGGCCAAGTAGCTATTAGAATCAAAAAATAAAATAGGTACTATTTCCTGGCGCGCGCGCATGCAGGCAGTTCGGCTCTATAGCTTCCACAGTGCTGTCAAGAAAAGCTGTCGCCAAGTATAATGCGTGTATTTTCAAGGTGCAAAAAAAGGTCACCCAAGGTTGTATCCTTTCACTGCATGTAGACCCATGCCACTGCTTTATGCAAAAAAACGGGGGGGGGGGGGGGGGGATGACGACACTGTTTTCAAGAGTTTAGCTTCATGTAGTAGGTATCTACTGCCACGCCTACCACTTTTGCTGCCGTGCTTTCGCACAAGGGCACAAGACAGGAGGAATGATGAAGGAAGGTGAAGCTGTGGTTTAAAAGACACAAAAGAAGGTGGAACATGCTCTCGTCAGTTTTCAAGTCCATTGTATTAAAGAGGGTCGCATCTGTAAATTTTGAGAACTATAGACTCTAACTCAAGCTTGTTGGCTATACACAATGAGTTGAGCAGTTGGCACAGCCTGTTGTAGGCTATAAATTTGTCGCTGTAATGCCCTACAACTAAGCTGCTTTGAATATTGAAATGTTCTAATGAATATTACTATATTAAAATTCACTTCAATTTGAATTTGTTGAAAATTTGGGAGTATTCAAAATGTACAAATAGATGTATATTCATTAGTGTGTTACCCCCGGTAAAGATGGTTTCACTTCAGTGCAGGAGTGCTAAGCAATGAAAACACCTATTTAAATGTATATTAGTTTGCATGTAACCTCCTGTAAAATGGTTTGACTGCAGTAAAGAAATACTACGCCATGAAAACACCTCACCGGGAGAAATCCACAATGCAATGAAGCATCACTTTAAAGGGCTACTCACTAGGCCTCATACCAAATTTTAGTTAGATCATGGAAGTTGTTGGGTATGCGATGAGGAACATTTTGCCACAAAAATGTTTTGAATCGGTTCATTACGAGTCGAGAAAACTTCCTTTTTGAAGTGGCGCAAAACGAGCATGAGAGGAGGCAAGCTCAAAACCCTTGCCTCTCTTACGCGTAGCCTTCCCAAGCCAAATCTCTTCCCTACCCTCTCCAGACCGACCAAGAGGTCACGTGTGCATGACATGCCTGAAAAAGCCTAACCACCGCGCACACGAACCATTTTTTTTTTTGTTGACCAGCGTTCTTTAGAGGTGTACTGCCTGTTTCTGCGGGATTGTTTGGAAACGCTGGCTTAGACGTGGTTATAGTGAACTATCACTATATGCGCAGTAGAATAGATGAGCACAATGAGTGCCTGAACGCTTAGGAGCGTTCCATGGCTGTTGTCTGCTTGATGCGCTGATCGCAATCTAGTACACTGTAACCGCGGGGACACACAAACGCATGCACAATGCCGGCACATTAGCCCTCCATTTCGTTGCAACTCAGGGGGAAAAAATTTTTTTAGAAAAGTAACGCTCACATTCCCTTATTGCGTCTCATAATTTATCTAGAGATTTATTAGTCTTTTCAAACAACAAATACAGAAACTACGTATGTCGTGTTAAATAATTTTCGCCACATCACATGCTACTGTTCGCAACATCAGAACAGAGTCATTACGTAGAGGAACAATCTCACTGCACTGCCGTGTACGTAGGACCATTAATACGCGCACGTCATGCCCTCATTCAGCAGCGTTCATCTTGAAACTTGACCTATTTTCACGGTGCGTAGCGTTGCGAATTTTGGCAAACGTGACCATGAACGCATCATCTACGCATTGCGCTTCTCAGCTCAAAATCGTCAAACCTGGTGAGTGGCCCTTTAAGGTTAAATGAACATATTATCCTCACACGGATTAATAATTTTTTTTTTTTTAAGTTTACAAGCTTGTTATACCAGCTTATGTGCTCTTAGTAAATTTTAAAACCTAGCATATTTTACAGGTTATCCCCTGCATTCTACCAAGAGGCAAATCTTGCTACTATTAAACGCAGTTTCCACTTCCTTTGCATCAAAAAGAGTGTCATTTGCACAAGCCTTGTTTAACATTTTACAAATATCGTTCAAGTTAGTTTATTCATTACAAATATGCCCTTTTTTTTATAATAAGCAATTTATAATATTCGAATTTGCTTCAAAATCGTTCTTCGAAAAACACTACTCGCTTCGAGCCTAAATTTCACTATTTACACAAGCCTAGTACCTACATCACATCTCTTGGTAGTGGCTTTGTATGAAGCTATTATTTCCATTTAACTCACAGCATAGTGATATTATTAGCATAAGTAACAAGCCATTTATCCCTTACATTACCCTCTGTGCAAAGGTGCTTGCTGGAATCATGCATCGACATGCTAGGTAGTGAAGGCGAAGCAAAGGAAAACTTCACACAGCCTTGAGGTAGTCCCGCTCTCAAACTTTTCTTTCGCTTAGAACAGAAATTACTCTTTTCAAACTTTCTGCATATATTACCAGCGAAGAATGCTACAGAAAGATGTGCAAGTCATATTTTTATTTGGTCGGCAGCATTGCAAAATGCGTCAGAATTTAATTTTTTCAAACTTTGTCCTCGAAGTCATTTTAGAGGTACACTACTGTGAAACAATTAATCAGCTTACAATTACAAATTATTGTTTAAACATTTAAAATGTCCTTAATTACACTACCACAAGTAAAAATCCAAGTCAAGGATTCTTATTTTTAAACTCTGTGATGAAATTGTCGCACATAAATATCAGTCTGATGTCGTAAATTTAATGTCTGTTTGTTCTTATGACGCATTTTGGCCAAACGTGCTCAATAAATTCACTGAAACTTGGCTGACTCAGATGACAGTGGACTTTTTTTACCAACTCAGCACCTAAGCAGGCCCTACTAAACATGTATATCAGGATGATTGGTGCTGGAATTTGAAGATGCACTGCTACCAGCACTTTCATTTCTGCAACGTTTCCTCACTTGCTAAGTGCCTTCTTGAGGCAACAGCAGTAATCCTGGCATTTTCGAAGGGTGGCCCAGCAATGCATTAAAAGAATAGTTTTTCTCTTTAGTATCTACTTAAACTGATTGATAAACACAGCCAAACTGATCCTCTTTTTCGGGAAAGAAACCTTGATTCCAGGGCATACGCATGCGATGATGAATGCTAACGGGTGATAAAAGATATACACACCCGATAGATCGTTTCGACTCTTCAGAATGGACAGGAGATTTGTGTCCAGCTGCAGAATCTCGTCGGTGAGTAGCTGTGAGAATTCCAACAGTAGCTGTGGCACTGCCTCAGCACCAGCTGAGTGCCATTGTCGCTGCACGGCCCCCGCCAATTTGGGCATGAGCGATGAGAACAGGTGCTGCTCAGCGAACTCTGATGCCACCTGCAGCATGACTACCAGCGTCACTGCTCCACTCGTCGGGTCGGTACGTCACCACATAGACCTTGGGCCACAGTCTCACACTAACGGTGCATTTGACTGCTTCCTACCACACTAAGACTCACTGGCGATGCGAACTGAAAGAGTGAATCCGGCAAAGCTGTGTTCATGCTGAACCAATGCCTCCTCCATTACTAAATGCCTGTCACGTGCTCCGTTAACCAGGTTGCGCACCCTCTCGCTCTTTTTTTGTTCCGCAAGAGGCAATGAGCGCTGCGTAGATGTGAACGCCTGCAACAATGATCATGTGATGCTGCTTCCAAGAGTGCCATCACATTTGTTACCGCCTCGAAGGTGCTAGCAGCACCACGCTGGCAGATGCTCTGTATTTCCGCTTCCACCGGAAGTCGGTAAGGCAATGAATGCCACCTCACAAATTTGTAGAAAACTGAATCGAGCCGTCGCCGCCACAAGGGGAAAGTGAGCGACCCGGCGGGCTTCTAGTCAAGGAGGCATTGGCTGTACCGATAGCTGTATGGAAATCAGTCTGGTCAGGAACAGACACAAAGACAGTTAAAAACATACACACTGACCATCATTGAAAGCAGATAAAAGCATATTTTGGCCCCCATACGGGAGCCTTGTTCACAAGTGAAAAATGACTGGATAAGCGGTCTGGTTATGCATTTTATAAAATGTGACATAGGCATCGTGTATAGACATATGGAAAGTTTCCGTCATTTAAATTGAGTGTGTGCACCATTGTCCGAGCCCTGATAGATCGACATGAAGCAGAGATAACCAGTTCTTTTCTCTTTCTGTTATTCAGCTCATCTAATCATTTTTCACATGTGAGCAAGGCTCCCGTACGAAAGCCGAAATTTTGTGCTTTTATTTGCTTTTAATCATGATCAGTGTGCTGTTTTTAATTGTCTTCGTTTCTCCCAAACAATTGAACAAGCCCTATGACGATGATTATGTTGTAAATTTCAGTCATGCCCTCTTATTAATTACCCCAGTGCCTTAAAACACCATATTTGCTGGATGCCTTCAGATGGCTTTTTTGGTAGCGGTAGACATCTTCAGATGGTTGAAGACATGATTCACGGCAGCAATGAAAAAAGTTAAACCAAGTAACTGTTTAGTTAAACACTAAAAATGAGAGAATGGCCCAGTAGAAACTTGTTAATTTGAATCCCAAGACACCATCAACTTTTTTATTTTAGGAGGCAGGTGCTAGGATGACAAACATTATACTACACTGCACAGGTAGAACCCAAAGGAGCCGCCTCCAAACTTGTTATCATGCGTTATGTGCTACTACATGCTTGTGGCAGGTGTAAGTTCATGGGGCTCTAGCAGGAAACAGAGTTCATCACTGAGTAACACACCTGAAACAAGCTGAAACAAGCATCTACATAAATTCATATGAGCAGCGAGCCATAAAGGGGCCCTAAAACACTATTTAAAGTAATCGTGGTATGAATTCACTGGAAGAGCTTATTGCCTCACGAATTCAACGGCGCAGAAATATTAAGAATCTTTCCAGTGCGAGTGGAGATTTGTCGCATGCTGCAATTGCATTCTCTCTTCTCTCGTCCAACGAAAGCACTGGAAGTTAAGCAGGGAGGGATGGCAGGGGCAAAGAAAATACGTCACGTGCGGCTCGTGACCTTGAGATTCTTTATTTTCTTCAAATTCACAACCTTTTCAGTGTGATCGCGTGCGCACACGGGGACAAGTCGTGGTCTCCCGCAGTGACCATTGTAACGACCGAGCGGGCCATGTTCAAATCAGTCAATGGCTGATAGATGGCTTCCTACGAGTGATTTTCGAGCGTCTTCCGTCATTTGTCGAGAGAAGAGAAAGCAATTTTTAGCTGACTCTTACAATTTATTGTGAATTCCAGGTTGCGTGCTGCACTATAATATCTGCATTTAGTGTTGTCGGGAGCCTCTACTACTGATCGGCACTGTTTCCTGACCACGCTCAAAAAGTGTTGCAGGGCTCCTTCAAGTTTAAATACAAGACACTATTTATGTTCCAAAACACATTGATTTGCACGGGAGAGTTAACGATGAAAATTAAAGGTGATCAGGAATTTGCATTTACATGCATTTTTTCAGTCGCAGATCTATGAGCCCTGTGTGCAGCTTGCCCAAGAGGTCCAGCGCGTCTAAATCCTCATCTCATACGAGAGATCCTACTGTTACGTTGCTTTGCATGTGTAGTAAATCTGGTTTGATGTGGTTTCACAACACGTCGTGATCCCTCTGGCCTGACTTCCGTAAAGAGCGATGCAAACCAGAGGCTCCCTGTTTGAATTGGCCGTTGTGGATACTGACGAGTTCAGATTAACGGGTGTTCTTCCCCATAGAAATACACAGGTCTATAGAGACCAGGGCATCAATTCGAATAAAGCGCAAGTTTGAATGAACTAAGTTTGAATTAGCAAGGTTTCACTCTATGTTCTCAGCCTACAATATAAACCAATCAAAAGCTCCACTAGAACGCACTACAGAACTCTAAGGTGACCAGGTGAACTCGCTACAGGATTAACAGAAGACTTCACACAAGTTGCTCAAACAGTGCAACAATCATTAGGAGAACATAGGTTAATTATAATGCAGCCTCTTTTGTTGCTCCTTGCAACTGAGATTCACAGCAGGACAGCCACACCATCTTTCCTAGGTCACTCAATACTACTGCAGTGATGTGGCTGAATGAGTGCTGATGGTTGCATAATGTCTCCTTGCCAAATTACTCTGCAGCATTCATTATGTTATTATCAGGACTATTACTCAAAGCAATAAGAAGCTTGATATGCGCATTCATTTACAGTCTATCAAGTTTTGAGTGGGACTACCAGAGTACAAAACTCACCTCTCCGCCATGGCCATCGAATACTCCATAAAGATGAAGATCATGCCGCTCATCACTCAGAATGCAGAAGCGGTCCTCCATGCGGGGCCTGCGCCCCTGCAGTGCAAACACGCCTGCGTGCTTGGCCTGCATTGCAATGAAGTGGAATAACTTTATTGAATAATGTCCTGAAAGGCTTGCGTGAATGCGTTCAGGGCTCCCACGTTGGGACTGAAAAGTTTAGCACTGCAAAGAAGGACTTTTCTGTCAACTTACAGGCAATTGGGCCCAATGTTCCACCCATGCTTTTTGTAACGAACACGTAAGAGTAGGCAACTAAAAGACAAGAACTTGGTAAGAATGTGAGCAGTGCTCTACATTAGATGTGGTCGTAGCTGTAAATATTCCGAAAAATACTGACCAGCATAGGTCGGCAAACTCGCTCATGAGTTGACTCACTCGGACTTACTCAGACTCAGATCAAGCCACGAGTCCGAGTTTGAGCGAGTCCGGGTGAACAAAATTTTCATGAATCTGAGTCCAAGTGAGTTCGCTTGAAGAAAATTTTTATGTGTGTGAGTTCGAGTGAGTTCCCCTCAGAAAAAGTTTGGCGAGTCTGAGTGAGTTCAAACTGCCATATATATTTCTTGAGCGAGTTCCACTTTATTTTCCCTGACCTGATTGATTGATTGATATGTGGGGTTTAACGTCCCAAAACCACTTCATGATTATGAGAGACGCCGTAAGTGGAGGGCTCCGGAAATTTCGACCACCCGGGGTTCTTAACGTGCACCCAAATCTGAGCACACGGGCCTACAACATTTCCGCCTCCATCGGAAATGCAGCCGCCGCAGCCGGGATTCGAACCCGCGCCATGCGGGTCAGCAGCCGAGTGCCTTAGCAACTAGACCACCGCGGCGGGGCTATTTTCCCGACCTAAGGTACTATCTAGTCATCATTAGCATTACTATCAGCCTTACTTGGATTCCTGTTCATATTCGCATCTACTCACAAGTATTCCAAAGCAATGTCATGCATACACCATTTCAATATGTTTTGATGAAGAGGTGCAAAATACGTAGGGGGGAGCCTTGACCTCTTGCCCACCAGCTTTTCAAGGGATGTTCTGGATAAATATTTTTTATTCTGTCATCTATTCCAAGAGAAATGACCTCACTGATTTGCAAGTACCCAAAACTCGTTTTCAAAAATACAATGACAGAAGGCGCCAAGAAAAGCACCGATTACATGAGATGTTGGTGTTAAGGAGCACAGACACTATGGTTGAAAAAGCCGATTCTAGGCCAACAGACTCACTCAGACTCAGATCAGGCCATGAGTCTGAGTGAGTCCGGGTGAGTAATGTTTTGGCGAGTATGAGTCCGAGTGAGTCCGGTTGAAAATAATTATCGTGAGTGCAAGTCCAAGAGAGTCGAGCTCCACCAGTTTTTCTGACCTATGCTGACCAGTCTGTAAGGACGCTTGAGAAGAAAAAGTATGTGCGCACAGAAGGAGTTGCGATAGCGTAGAAACAAAAAAAATGGGATATTTGTTGAAACAGGAACGCCTACCATGCGTTTTTTCTCTGTCAATGCAGATTTTTACAGACACCATGCAAGGCCATAGTGCCACTGCAGGCTCGTCGATAGTTTTATCTTCACTGCTGCCTTACTTTGCCAGAATTTCCTGGTAGCACAAGCATTGCTGTAGGGGTAGTGCCGACCCCCACCACCTTATGGCACACCTACAAGTTTCTAAATATGTATAAATACAAGCAAGGAACCATAACTAAAGCATTTATGTATACGCTGCATTTAGAAGTTCAATTATGTGCCATTTTTATTGACATACACAAAAAACATGGAGGAGGCTTGAACAAAGAGCGAGACTGTTTGCTTGACAGGAATTCGGGCCCACCTTTCCAAGGCATACAGCCTGACAGGTGATGCCGTGCAAAGCAGAAAAACACCGAATATGTAGATTTGTGGCAATAAGTGCCCCAAGGCAGTATACTTTGCATTTTTTCTGATAAAAGTAAACACACTTAATGTGCAGAAAAATTTTTTAAGAAACACACGAATTCCCGCATTATACTTTTGAAGAATGAGAAACTCATTGACTACACATGATTACAGCTTGGAAACACTGCCAAAAGAAGCAAGAACACTACAGAAATGCATGCTAACTGAATAAATAGGAAACAAAAAAAATTTAAGTGTTTTCTTACTGGTTGATAACTGTCGTAAAAACATTTGTAGATCCTTGGGTTTTCAAGTGGTTTAGGCCCTGCTGCTTCCTACCTTTTCTTTTCGCTCCCTGCACCTTGGCCACCAGTACAGCTGCGAATGCATCTCAAAGTAGCCCAAATTTCGCATCATTTAGTTGTTAGTGAGCGCTCGAGACTCTTACGATGCTCGCACATGTGCCTGAAGCTGAGCGCCTTCTACAAAAGCAATTGTTTCATCAGTGGATCCTTTGTTTCGGTGCTGGCACTGCATCGCTTCTACGCCATAAAAACCCGACATAATAGACTCCTGTTACAGCTAGCGTGCCGTAGTAGGTTTAGGGGTAGGTAAAGCCATAGGCCGGTGAACTCAATCATGTGTCGACTCTCTCAAACTCGGATCGAGCCACGAGTCTTAGTGAGTCCAGCTGAGTAATACTTTCCCGAGTCTGAGTGAGTCTGGTTGAAGGAATCTTTCGAGAGTATGAGTGATTTTGGCTAAGGAAAATTTTGAGTCTGAGTGAGTCCAAAGTGCAACATGTATTTCTTGAGTGTGTTATATGTTCTTTTGCCAACCTAAGGTCCTATCCAGTCATCCTCAGCATTACTATCAGCCTTACCTGGATCCACGTTTATACTGACGTTTACTCACAGGCGCTCCAAAACGGGGTCGTTCATACACCGTTTCAATATTTATTGATCAGAAACATGAATTACATAGGGTATTGTCTTGACCCCTTCTCACCAACTCTTCCAGAGAAGTTATTGATAAATATATCTTATGCTGTCATCTTTTCCAAGAAAAATAACTTTACTGGTTTTTTGCAAGTACTTTGCTTTGTTATAGGTACACACTAGAACCCTAGTTGTTTTTGTTTTATTATTTTTTTACCCTTTTCTGTGGCTGCTGATTCCCCACTGTTGTACTTTGCCTTACACTCCTGGTCTCTTGTGTCATGGGGGTTGACATTGCAACCTACAGGGTTCGTATCGGAAGCTTTAGAAACTGCTGCAGAAAAAAGATAGCGGATGCTGAACGCCCTTATGCAGAGTCCCGCCTTCTGTGTGTCTTGTGCCCCAAACCCTCTCTAGCACTTTTAATCTGCCTAACGTTGCTTTTGCTCTGTGCTGGGGATATTGAAGCCAATCCAGGCCCCAGAGTAGATGATGTGTATGCTCTACTGAAAGAATGCATTGAAACTAACAAAAAGAACTTTGACACCATTACAGCAACCTTAAACGAAATTCAACGGGATGTTGCTGACATCAGGTCCCGAGTTTGCGCAGTTGAACAAAATTTACCTATAGTACCTGAAATAGGCACGGGCGTCAAAGCAGTGAATGACGCACTTGAGGAATTTAAAATGACTTTGTCGCGGACTAATGGTGACCTTGAAGGTGTTGTCGATGACTTAAATAATCGTTCACGAAGAAATAACTTGCTAATTAAAGGTTTAGTGGAAGAGGAGAAAGAGGACTATGAGGCTAGCGAAAAATTAGTCAGGGATTTCTGTTCCACGAAACTAAAAATAAACTTGCAACCCGGTGACATTGAACGGGCTCATCGAATTGGGCAGCCTCGTCCTGATTTTACGCGTCCACTGATAATAAAGTTCTTGAATTTCAAGACGAAGGATTCCCTTCTTCGAAATGCGCATAAACTCAAAAACACTGAACCTAAAGTCTGGCTCGAGGAAGATTTCTCCCCTAAAATACAGTTCGCAAGGAAAATGCTCCGCGATTTCGCTAAACAAATCAAAGGGAAGGATGAACGCTACAGCATACGGTATAACAAACTGAAGCTCAAAGGACACATATATTACTATGACGCAGTTTCCGCAAGAGTAGTTCGGGCAGACCCTCCGAAAATTCCCATCACGGATTGACAAGCTGTCCGATTCAAGCCTAGAAAAACAAAAACAAAAACTAATACTAAAGTTCAAAACCTATCTAAAGTTGACTTGTTGCTTTCAGTAGGTCACGCATGCTCCGCTGATATAATTCTAGGCACTGAAACATGGCTCCGTCAAGACATACGCAATTGTGAACTATCACTTCCAGATTATTTCACGGTCTTCCGTAAAGATAGAACTTTGTCTCGGGGCAGTGGCGTCTTAATAGCTGTAAGAAACTCTTATCAACCCTCCCTTGTTACTATTGATACAACTCTCGAGCTACTCTGCGTAAAAATCCAATTTGAAGGCTGCACTTGTGTTATCGGGGTCTGCTATCGGCCGCCTGACAGCAAACCAGATTTTGTTGATCGCCTAACCCATGTACTAGAATTAATTTTTAACAAATTTCCTCAGTGTGTCTTGCTGCTTGGCGGTGATTTCAATTACCCCTCCATTAACTGGGTCACACCATCATCGCTATCAATATCTGTCGGACTTGAAATACCTCGCTTCCTTCGTACCTTAAAACTATTTCACCTAACTCAAATGGTAACTGCCCCGACGCGCGGCTATCACATCCTCGACTTAATTTTTACAAACAAACCGACAAACGTTGTAGTCCAAGTCCTTGATGAAATTAGTGACCACAGAGTAGTACACTGTTCCCACCCTCTGCCTCTCCATAACAAGAAAATAAAGCCTAAACGCATACTAAATTTCAAAAAAGCAGATATTGAAAAAATTAATTGCATGTTAACCGAGTTTTTGTATTCTTTTCTGAACAAATTTAGCAATCGTACAACAAATGAAAACTGGATAATATATCGGGACTTCCTTAAAAAAATTGAAAATACGTGCATTCCTGTGGTTTCCTTCACATCACATACAAGTGCTACCTGGTTTTCAAAGAAGGTTAAAAGTTGCCTAAACAAAAAGAAAAGAGTGTACAAAAAGGCTTCGCAAATTAACAGTCACCGCACTTGGAATAGGTATAAAGAACTAGCTCGGGTGTCAGAAAAAGCTATTAAAGAAGCTAAGAATTATTATTTTAATGATACGCTGCCGAATCTGTTAAACTCTGATCCGAAAAAGTTTTGGCGAGTTCTTAACCCTAAAGATACGGACACTATAATAACATTAAAAGACGCAAATGGGTCGATTGTACCCACCTCTGAATGTGCTGAGGTTTTAAACAATGTCTTTAGCGAAGTTTTTGCAGACGAACCACCTCTTGACGAGTCCTGTTCCGTCACTCCTACTTCAATTACTTGCCCAAGCGAGCCCATTATCGTAACGGAAGTAGGTGTATCACGTGCAATTGCTAGACTTCCGCTTCGGTCCAGCCCTGGACCTGACAGCATCAGCTCAAAACTTCTTAAATTAACTAGTCACGTATCATCGTTTTTATTGTCCTTAATTTTTCAGCAATCGCTTGATTCTGGGTGCGTCCCTGACGATTGGAAATCTGGTCACGTTATACCCATTTATAAATCTGGTGATCCCTCAAGTCCAAAAAACTACCGCCCGATTTCACTCACATCAGTTTGTTGTAAACTCCTCGAACATATAATTTACTCCCACATAATGAGACATCTTAGTACTAATAAAGTGTTATTCGAAAATCAACATGGGTTCAGGTACAGGCGGTCTTGCCAGACACGGTTATTTGAATTATCTACGGATTTACATGACTCTTTGCACAAATCGGTTTACACAGATGCTGTATTTATCGACTTTTCTAAAGCCTTCGACCGTGTTCCCCACATACGGCTCATCCAAAAAATAAACTGCCTAAAGTTAGACATAAAAACTACCCGCTGGATTCAGGAATTTCTATCTGGTCGCTCTCAAAAAGTAAATATAAATAATAATCTCTCCAGTTCCTGTGTCGTTGGGTCAGGAGTACCTCAGGGATCAGTTTTAGGGCCTTTATTATTCCTGATATATATTAATGACATTGCGAACAATATAACTTCAACAATTCGACTGTTTGCCGATGACTGTATAATTTATAGACAGATCACATGCACTAATGACGTAGCTATCTTGCAAAGCGATCTAAACACCCTGGCTAAATGGTGCCACACGTGGAAAATGGAAATTAATACAGATAAAACAAAGGTCATGTCATTTTCTTCGAATCCAAATACTCCATTAAATCGATACATGTTATGCAGTTTGGATATTAAACGAACCTTTTCTTTCAAGTATCTTGGCGTGATATTTACTCCTGATTTAAACTGGGCCATGCATATTGAACACGTAACAAACAAGGCACTAAAAAAACTTGGCTTTCTTAAGCGTTTATATCTCGCAAACCATGAAACTAGACTTCGCGCTTACACTTCCCTCATCCGTGCAACCCTCGATTATGCTTCAATTATTTGGAACCCTCACACAGCTATACTGTCGACTGTATTGAATCTATTCAAAACAAGGCTGCCCGCTTCATTTTGCACTCGTACTCGCCATACCAAAGTGTCTCAGCATTAAAACAGATTCTTAATCTTCCAGAACTTAACACTCGTCGTAAATTCTTCCGCTTGACCTTTTTTCACTCTCTGTATCATGGTATTACACCTTTTTCATGCGCTCATATTTTTCCGGCCCATTATGTGTCCAATCGCACTGACCATGCTCGTAAAGTGTCCATATTTGCAAGGACCAAAAAGTACCAAAATTCCCCTTTTGTGTTATCTGTAACCGAGTGGAACGAGCTTCCCAGCTCGGATTCACTCAGGCTCGGATCGATTGGTGAGTCAGAGTGAGTTCTTGTGAGTAATGTTTCGATAGGTTAGCTTGAGTCTGAGCGAGTCTGGTTGAGGAAAACTTTCTTGACTGTGAGTCCAGCTTCGAGGAAATTTTCGTGAATCAAAGTCCGAGTGAGTCCGAAGCTGTAAATATATTTCATGAGTGAGACTGAGTGAGCTCCACAAGTTTTGCCGACCTATGGATGGAGCTTCTACACATGCCTCTCCAGGACAGACCAGTGCGACAGAACTGATCATCAGCACCGGCTGCTTCCCGTCTACACCCACATGTACCTAAAAAGTGCCTGCCTGTCTCAACCGTGCCAGCCTTCACTAATGTTCCCATATTTTTTTTTTCTTTACTGTGTTTGTGTGCATACCAGCTCCTCTATGCCTCAAGTAATGCAAAGGTTGTAAGTTTAGCATCCACTGCCAGCAAGTTGTCTTCCTTATCCACCACCCTTTCTTCTCTGTTGGCGGGGAATGAGGCCTAAGGCAAGTTCTAAAAAAAATGACCCGGGTCCATGTCAGATGAGGCAGCCCGAATCCCCCAGCAACACCGTACTCTACGCCCATGCATACCCGTAGCAAGAAAATAACTACAAACAATCCTTTAGTTCGTGTATATGGTCTAGGTAGCGATGTGAAAGGTTGCCTGTATGGCTAAGGCTGCACAAGAAAATATGTGCATATCTGCTACTGAGCTATTTGCAAATGGCTGCTTTGTCTATTGTTGCGTGTGATTTATTTTTTTAGTACTACCTTAATTCAGCGTGTATTGCAAAAGGGTGTCTACTTGGTATGGCATTTCTTAGTGTATCTCTAAAGTGTTTCTGGTGTCACATTAAAAACACTGCATTTGCTGCCTTGAAAATTACAAAGATTAGGTCTCTTAATACTAACAATGTTTAACAATGTTAGAAGATTTCGAACACGATTTACCCAATCACTAGATGAACATTTCCTGCGTTTGCCGCATAAACTGTGGCATCCCTGGCATTGTCAAGCCTGCGCTTCTAGATCGCTCGCAATCAGCACAAGGACGAGATGCTCAATGAATACCGCCTACTCTCCTCTGCTTTCCCGTTTCTCGCTCATGGTTCAGGCATATATGTGGCGAACGCAGGAAATGAACGGTTTTTATTCAGCGCTCGTGTCGTCGCATGTGTCTCCCATTAATTGCCGTGGTTCACGTTTGCGCCGTTCCTACCATCGATTCACCCGGGCATATTACTGATGGGCCGTAAAGACATCCGACAACCTTATGTGCCCGATTGAGCGAATCAAGAATGCGTGGCCTATCAATATAAAATAAACCAATGTGCGTCATACAGGATCTTTCTATGTGTAGGAGCTGACACAGGAAGGCAGCTCCGATTACGTGCCGTTCGTCACAGCTGATCAAAGGTGCGTACAACAGTCGCCGGGCAACGCTTGCCACGAATGACAACCGGGGGTGGCGGTCAGAGCAGATGCCGAAGGAGGCCGACAAGCGAGCTTTACTAAGTGTGCACCGCGTTTAGCGTGCGAGACTGACCTGCAGTTCCCAGGAGCGCCTCTCGGATGCCGAGCCGACCGGCTGACTGCGCATCAGCAGCTTCTTGACGGCGTCGGGCCGGCCCAGCAGTTCGAGACGTCGCATGAGCTGCCGGAGCCAGGCGTCGCCCGGCGACTGGCACAGGAGGACGGCGGCCAACAGGGCCACGAACACGGCCAGAGTTCCGGGCCTCAAGACATACAGGCGGACGTAGAAGGCGGCCGCGTCCGCCATCGGCAGCAGCTCTGTGCGCGCTGCTCGCGACACGAGGCTCACATGAGCCCAGAAGATCTCCTGCACCACTTCGCCCTCCAGCTCGTCGTCCATCCCCACTCGCTGTTGTCAGCGCGAAGGTGCCACGACGTGGACCGAGATGAAAGTGGAACTGCCTTCCGATGATTCGAGATGGTTGCTCGGCTGCTGCTGGATGCAGCTATCTGCGCGTGCATACAGACACACTAGACAAATGAATGGCCAGAATTCACATCAACCCACGGAGGAAGGACATGATGATGATGGTCCTTGGATCACTATCCACTCTGGGGGATCGGCCAAGAGTCTGGCGAATCATACTGTCATACATACTGGATTTATAATGAATATTTATTAAAAGCTAAAATAATTTTAAGATATCTTTTATTGTAACGTTAATTATGAATAATTGTAAATTTAAGTGGCACTATTTTGTGTAATCTCCCAAAGACTTAAGGTCTTTTGACTAGGAAGGCTGAACAAAGAATCTTTAGCCATTGATAAACCTACCAAATCTATTCGAGTCGCATATAAACTTTTCGACAGCTTTGAAAATATTATGAGACCACGTCCGGTACGGCAGTAACCAAGTTATCTTTTTAATCCAGACGCACGAGCCAGAGAGCCAGTCCTGGTAGGTGTTCTGTGGCCAGCCCGCGTGACATACGAAGATGATCACTACAATGGTTTGGTCATACAGATGAAGATGAAGTACATAGTCAGCGCTCACACTAATTTCCCCCCTTCGTGAAAGAGGGCAGCAAGTTAGAAAGGGTTGGGACGCCGGATATATCGTTTCAGTCTAGAGACGTGGGCGATCTCGGTGTGGCGGCGACAACGATCAGGAGCCGCGTTGACAGGAGCAACGCGATAGTTGACTTCAGATGTTCGTTCCAGGACGGTGTATGGACCGAGATATCGGTGAAGGAATTTTTCGCAGAGCCCAGGTACACGAACAGGTGTCCACAAAACGACTTCGTCGCCTGGGCAGAGCACAACAACTCGACGCTTCGCATCAATGTCGATTTTTCTCTTGTCCTGAATGGTAGCAGTGTTGGCGCGGGTGATTTCACGGCAGCGGGCGACGCGAGCAGCGAACTCTTCCGGGAGAGATGAAGATGGATTGGAAGATGTGGACAAAAAGGTAGTGTCCAGAACAAAAGTCGGTACACGGCCATACACGAGAAAAAAAGGGCTGAAATTCGTCGTACGCTGTATGGCAGTATCATATGCGAACGTGATGAAAGGAAGTATTGTGTCCCAGTTTTTGTGATCCGGTTGCACGTACATAGAGATCATGTCGGACAAAGTTCGGTGAAAACGCTCAGTCAGACCATTACTTTCTGGGTGAATCGCTGATGTGGTCTTGTGGATGGTGTTAGAGGCCTGTAAGACTTCAGCAAGGACATGTGAAAGAAATGTCTTGCCACGGTCACTAAGGAGCACAGGCGGTGCGCCATGTCGTAAAATAATGGCGCGAAGGAAAAAATCAGGCTACTTCAGAGGTAGCACCAGATGAAAGAGCTGCCGTCTCCGCGTAGCGAGCAAGGTGTTCTACGGCAGTAACAATCCAACGGTGACTGGCTGGCGTGAGCGGAAGGGGTCCGTATAAGTCTATGCCCACAAATTCAAAGGGAGTGGACGGGCACGGCAGTGGTTGCAATGGAAGAGACGCAAGAAGAGGCGTGGTACGTTTTCGGTGCTCGTATGACGTGCAGGAAGCGACGTACTTGGCGACAGAAGTGGAGAGGCCAGGCCAAAAGCAGCGAGTCTTGAGGCGGTCGTAGGTCTTGTGGAACCCTAAGTTGCGAGCTGTCGCATCGTCATGAAACACTTGTAGAACTTCTAGACGAAGTGAGCGAGGAATGACGGGAACCCATTGGTTACCGAGAGGATGGTAAATTTGCCGACATAATGTTCCATCTTGAAGCTTGAAACGGGCAAGTTGTCGTCTTAGGCGGCTGTTTGGAGCACGCGATAAGCCAGTGAGCTGATCAATGACTGTGCGGCAGTAGGTATCGGCATGTTGGAGCGAGGCGAGATCTGTGGACGAAAGAAGGTCCGCCGAGGCAACTAACTCTTTCGAAACAGCAGCCGTCTGTTCGGTCCCTTTGGTGGGCGGTGACGAACAGATGGAAGGTGACACTTCGGTGCTTTGCGAGAGCACCAACGTGACAAAGCGTCGGCATCTTGGTGCTCTCGACCCGACCTATATGTGACGCTGTAGTCACACTCTTGCAATCGTAGTACGGCCAAGGCGTCCCGACAAATTTTTGAGAGACGATAACCAACACAGAGCATGATGGTCAATCACTATTGTGAAATGCCGGCCGTATAAATAAGGGCGAAACTTTTGTACGGACCACACGATGGCGAGACATTCTTGCTCAGTGATGCTGTAGTTTCGCTCAGCAGTCGACAGAGTACGGCTCGCGTAGGCCACGACTTGTTCTTCGGAAGTTTGGTTCCGCTGAAGAAGGACAGCACCGATGCCAAGTCCACTTGTGTCAGTGTGTAGCACAGTAGGTGCTTCATGGTCGAAATGTCGAAGCACTGGCCATGATGTGAGGCATCGCTTGAGGGTGTAAAAAGCGGCTTCGCAGTCATCCGACCAGACAAAGGGTGCGCAATAGTGGCGAAATCACGTACAAAGCGGCGGAAATACGATGCCAAGCCAAGGAAGCTGCGAATGTCTTTCTGTGTGGTTGGTGTAGGAAAGTGCAGTACCGCGACAACCTTGTCGGGATCGGGCTCAACGCCATGTTTACTGACGACGTGACCTAATACTTTGATGCTGTGACTGGCAAGCTGACACGTCTTAGTGTTGAGCTGGAGACCGGCCTTAGCTAAACACGTGAGGACGTTCGTCTAGCCGTTCCAGGTGCTGTGAGAAGCTGGACGAAAAGATGACGATGTCGTCCAGGTAGCAAAGGCAAGTCTTCCATTTTAATCTCCGCAGTACCGTGTCTATCATCCGTTCAAATGTGGCTGGGGCATTGCACAGGCTGAAAGGCATCACATTGAATTCAAAGAGCCCATCTGGCGTAGCAAACGCAGTCTTCTCTTCATCAGACTCGTGCATTGGAATCTGCCAATAACCGGAGCGCAAGTCGAGACTTGAAAAGTACTCGGCACCTTGTAAAGTATCAAGAGCGTCATCTATGCGAGGCATTGGGTAGACGTCCTTACGAGTGATTTTATTGAGTGATCTGTAATAAATGCAAAACCGTACCAAGCCATCCTTTCTTTCAACTAGTACGGCAGGAGAAGACCATGCGCTTGTCGAAGGCCTGATGACGTTGCGCGCGAGCATGTCGTTGACTTGTTTTTCTATAAGCTTGCGTTCAGAAGCCGACACACGGTAAGGGCGGCGGCAAATGACACGGGATCCGTCGGTGTCAATACGATGGGCGGTCACTGTTGTTTGACCCAGACCTTCGGAACAAACGTCAAAGCAAGTTTTGTGCTTCATTAATAACGCTACCAAGGCATCAGTTTGCGTTGGGTTGAGATGTTCACACAAAGTGGCCTTGAGAGCAGGAAATGCATCTTCCGCTGGCATACACTTTGAGAATGACGAAGCAGATGAACCAGTGACGACACAAAGCGGTGCTTCTTTGGTAATGCTGGCAACAGTGGTCCCCTCTGGCAAAAGAAGTGGTTCTGGCGTCGTGTTGCAGGCCGTGATGCTTGCATAACCACGGGAGAACCGCACTAAACAAAATGCGATGGTGATCCCTCGAAAAATGCAGCGCTGCGAAGGAACAGCCTCAGCGTCACCATCTAGAATGTCTCGTGACTTGATCGTAAGGACACGTTCTTGTCCGGGAGGCAGGAGGAAATCCGCAGCTGTCACAAGGTTGGGCGACGAAAGGTCGGCAGCAGAAGAAAGCTCAGTGTCCGTAATACGAATGAGGGGCCGACCACACGAAATTACAGCAGGCACCGCTGACAAGAAGTCCCAGCCTAAGATTATCTGATGAGCGCACGAAGACAGCACAGGCAATTATATGTGATGACGGATTCCATCGATGATAACACGAGCAGTGCACAACCCGGTCGGGCAAATTGGACTGTCATTAGCGCCGCATAACATGGGACCGGCATAAGGAGTTTGCACTTTACGCAGGCGAAAACACAATTCACGATCAATTACCGAAATTGCGACTCCAGTGTCTATAAGGGCGTCAACAAAAACACCTTCCACACAAACAGGCAGTAAATTAGCTGGACGAGATGGAGGAGTAGTAACGTTTCGACAACAAGCAGTTTCCCCTCCAAAAACTGCACCTTCTAGTTTTCCAAGTCCAGAGAGATCGGCGCGGGTCACAGGGGTGATGACGTACACCGAAACGGTGACGGAGAACGGCGGTGAGATGAACGAGAAGGATGAGGCCCAGCATGAGAGCGTGGAGGGGAGGGCGACCGACGGGAGATGGATGGATACAGTGCGGGATCGTATTCATTGGGTCTCGGGGCAAAGTCTCTCTCGTAAGCTGGGTAACCACGTCGTTCATTTTGCTGACGGCGGCGGCAGAAACGGGATATATGACCCCTTAATTATGCCACAGTAAAAGCAGATGGGGCGCGAAGGACGCCATGTATAATAGTGGCGTGGCCTTGGCACTTGCATTGTCATCGCAGCCACATGGTCGCATCCGACCATGTGGTTGGAACGGCACGGTTGGAACTGGTGCAAGGGCCCGCGATGCAACTTCTGCGTACGAAGACACTGGGAAGCGCACAGGAGACGGGGCATGTGCAGCGCTTGTCATTGATGCCAGTTCATCCTTGATTATCTCACGCAGGTTGGGAGGAGGTGTGCGGACAGACGCAATGGTTGGGTTGCCTGGAATAAGGCCGTGAAGTTCTTCTCTGACAATTGTGCGGATAAGGGCCCGCAATTCATGCTCTCTGGTAAAGCGAGCGTCGCATGAGGCGTGTGGAAAGCGCATGAAATGAAGAGCGTCCAGGCGTTGGCATGTAGTGATGACGTCTCGGACGGTAGTTGGATTCTGGATTACGAGAGCATTGAAGGCCACAGAGTTGATACCTTTCAGTAGATGTCGGATGTGATCGGCCTCCGTCATGCCATTTTGTGCTCGGCGACAAAGAGCCAGAATATCTTCAGTGTAGGATGTATACGATTCGTCGTCCCCCTGGATGCGGGTTGCGAGCTT